AGCCCTGCGCAGCCCAGGCTTCCTGGAAAGTGGAAGAGGAGGAGCCTCGGGGGGTCCCAGGGTCGGGAGTCAGGGCAGTCAGGCGCGGGGATTCGGGGGCCGGGCAAATGCCCGGCGCCGCGCAGGTCCCCCTGGCGTCCTTTCCTCCCAAGGTAGGGATGGTGACCCTCCTGGCACCTGCCTGCTCTGTCTGGCCTGCGGGCTGGACCGGACCCTTCCTCCCTGCCCCTTCCGAGGTGCGGCCTGTCCCCACACCGCCCCCCCGGCCCCAGGGGACAAAGGCCGATTTGCGGGCAGGAAGTGTCCCAGTGACAAATGAACCTCCCAGTCACTGCTCGCCGTGCCCTGCGCTCGTGGGGGGCTGCTCCCTCAAGGCAGGGACAGGTGGGAGTCCGGGGACCTCGGGCGCCGGGGCTCTCCCAGCTGTCCCAGGGACTGTCTTCAGCGGAAACCTTTTGTGTTTTGTGCCAGGGCTGTTTGTTGGTGAGTCAGGGCCCCCGCTGTCACCAACTCCCCCCCACCCCCAAACCAACTGTTCCTCCTCTCTGAGACTCCGCCTCGGGGCCACGTGGGGCGCAAACTTCCGCTGGGGCCTCAGAGTCAGGGAATAGGGGGTGTCATTTTGACCTGCTGTCTGGAGGGGTCAGAGTGAGAAGTCTCGCAAAGGTGCACGCAGGTGTTTTGTGGCTGTTGAAGGGAGGTTGAGGCTGATCCTGGAGATTCAGGGAAGAGGGAAGAAACCAGACACCTGCTTAACAGGTGTGTGTAATTGGGAGGAGGGTCACTGCCCCCACCCCCTCCAGCCTTCCTTGATCTGGTTATTTATTCCAGCACTTTTTGAATGAGCTGATTACATCTTGACTGTCTCCATTTTGCAGAAAGGGAAACTGAGGCTCACAGAGGTCATCCAGTTTGTAAGGGGCTGAGCTGGGACTCAAACTTCGGCTGTACAGAAGGATAGAGTTAGGAGGTCCCCTTCTGAGCCACAGCCCCTACCTGCTATCCCAGGCTACAGCATTTCTGCATAGCATTTATATCCTGTGGGATCACTGGCCCAGATGGACCGTATATTGTTTTGTTTTGTTTTGTTTTGTTTTGAGACGGAGTTTTGCTCTTGTTGCCCAAGCTGGAGTGCAATGGCGCGATCTCGGCTCACTGCAACCTCCGCCTCCCGGGTTCAAGCAATTCTCCTGCCTCAGCCTCCTGAGTAGCTGGAATTACGGGCATGTATCACCACAGCTGGCTAATTTTTTGTATTTTTAGTAGAAACAGGATTTCACCATGTTAGCCAGGCTGGTCTCGAACTCCTGACCTCAGGTGATCTGCCCGCCTCGGCCTCCCAAAGTGCTGGGATTACAGGTGTGAGTCACCACACCCGGCCCCAGGTCTGGATTTGAATCCCAGCTCTTTCACCTTCTTGCTGTGTGACCTTGGGCAGCTAGCTTCACCTCTCTGTGCCTCAGTCCCTGCTCCTGGAAACTGGGCCCAGGAAAAACCCTCGCCTCAAAGGGGGTGTGGCCAGGTGGAATGCCAGGAAGATCACTTAGCACAGCCTTGGGCGACTGTCGTGTTTTGGAAAGGGGGGCCTGGAGTTTGAGCTAGCAGTGAGGAGGGTGACAAGGTGAAATCTAGACAGCCTATAGGGCTCATTCCTCATTTGGTGCCAATTCAGGGCATTTCGGGACAGTGACACAATAATTTTAGGTTGGGTCAAGGGGAACAGAGGAAGTGGAGACAGGATCAGGACAACCTTTTCGGAGGCAGAAGAGACCTCTGAATCCTGGCTGAGCAGGAGGGGCCGGCAGAGGTGAAGACAGGAAGGGACCCGTTGACTTCAGAGTGGACAGGTGCAGGACGGCAGCTCTGACGGGCCTCCAGGTGCTCCCAGAACTCAGGACCAGGCCTGCAATGTTGTCCCTGGCAGCTGTGCCCTGAAGCTCCTTGCTTGCTTCTCCAGGTGGGAGTAGCGGCCAGGGGAAGACTGGGAAGGGCCACTCTTGGGTAATATATTGCTTTTCCTGTTTTTTCAGGATTTGGCCCTTTTGGGGAACACACTGTGAACGCCAGTTGGATTGCAGTTCAGGTAACTTAGATCCGGAGGGTGGGAGTCAGGCTTGGAACTGGGCACTCCCCCGCCGCAGAAAGTTATGGCATCCCAGAAAGTCTCCTTTCAACAAAACTTTTTTTTTTTTTTTTTT